AACAAAATAAACATAACTAATGTACGAGTAGCATAACGTATACAAATAATTATTTCATTATTAGACACACAAAAATAGGCTCAAGAAAATATTATAAAATTGCAAGTATACCAACCCGGAACAATACTCGAGATTTCTTTTTATTTATGCAAATTTAAATATCTAAGTATCAATTTACCCAGTGTTGTACTATCTATGATATGGTATCGTGTAAACAAATCAACAATCTATATAATAAAAAACCGTACTGATTTAAAATACGTAAGCAGATATGTGTTTCTATAAATAGCCTCTTGTTGTTGTTTACAAAATTTTACTGTCACGGTCAAATAACGCCAGTAAACAAAATGTGTACACGAAATTTAACAAACGCAAGCTTATTCTTAATAGTTGAAACAGATTTTCTACCTTACAAGAAGCAAAAAAAAAACAACCTTAATTGACTGATGTACCACTGATGTCTGTCGGTTGTTATCAGAGATTCTTAAATCCTAAATAATATGATAGATTCTTACCAAAATCCAGAAGAAAGATTCTTGGGTTGGTGGCCTTCAACAAAAATTAATTAAATTATTTCAGTTTGATGCACAAGTAGATCACATGATCCTCTCCCCGTAAAGAGGTTAAGTATACATGTAGCATTACACAAAGGTATATCCGTCCTTGGGTTCAAATTTGGTCTCACTCTGGGATCATTTAGTTTATATAGACTTCTGCAGAAATAAAATGTAAGTCTTTTTATGTAAGACTACAGTAAGGGTCAAGAGCTAAGATAATTGACATGTGGCATCGCCCAGTGGACCTCTACAAAAGGTATCCATGTATGTTTTAAGGCCTTCCTTGCAGCTGCCGTGTATACGTATTTATATAGTAGAAATATCTTGAATATTTATTTCTCCGGAACTACCGGACTCATTGCAGCTGCTAGTATCACCTTGTGGTGCTCTGCAAACCTTATATGCATGTAATACATGCCCTTGTGATCAAAAATTGGTCCTTTCCTATGTATTTTAAAAAACAAATTTATTTAAGCTTTTCTTGTGGGAAACTACTATGTCAAGAGCTTAGATATATGGCATGTAACATTACCTGCTTGACCTCTATAAAATATAACATAAATCTTATCTTGGGCTAAAATAAACAACACGAAACTTTCCAAATTCCTATTTATGCATTCAAGAAGTATGACCTTTTCTGGCTGTGAATTATAGGGCCATTAATGCGACATCGTTATGAAATCATCTTAATATTCAATCAAATATTATTTCGACTGTTTGTTTAAAGGTGCTTGAACACAGTTACTAAGGTGTATGTATGTTTAAGGATATTCTTCTGTGAGGATAGAATAATTGCATAAGTATAGATATTAAAACTTGTGAAGCATATACATGCGTCATATTAATCGTAATTCATACTTTAAATGGAAATAACCCTACGAACCAGTTAGCCTCTATCTTATATAAAGTGACTTTTAAAAACGGTATAATGTATATTTTTAAACCATCACCAATTTTAAACCAAGATGACTCACGTCTCGGATACCATGAGTCGATACGTTAATAGTCATAATTATACCTTGTTTGTGATGAAACAAAGTCACGTCAACTAGAAGTGGGATTTTTCTCTACATGCTTCATATTGGATGATGTTGCAAAGAATATTAAATGAATACAGAAAGTGCATTAACGAAACAGTCTGCCGACCTTTATCTCGACATTAGCTTGTGAGATGCTTTCGGATTATTTAAAGCAGATTGTCTCCAGATTCTTATACTTATATTCCCTTACTTATTTTCATAAAAAAATAAAACGTATTAAAAATTAAAATTTTGTTGTACGAATAAAGAAAGTAATTTACACATTGCAAACATCACTTAAAATCTGCGAAAATTGCCAAAAATAAATAAGAATATGCAAAAATAGTCATTACTACGTAAGTAACGCAGTAGAAATATGATAATAAATACTGCAAAATCAGTCATCAGTTGAATACAACATTCGAATTATTTCTTGTATTGTGAATTGTTTTGCTTTTTCTGAAAATCATTTTCTCAAAGTTGATTTTTTACATCTGGAGGCATGCAACTTTAAATGATGCATCAGATCTGCTCTCTCTTTGGTGTCGTATAGTCTTACTATTCCCTCTAAACGAAACAAGTTTTTTTTAATCACTGATACTGCTTAACAATATCAAACCGTAGCTAATTTAATATTACATGGGCTTAAGCTACCGATGGCAACGTGTCAACAAACATATATATCCGCGTGATGCTGTGTAAAGTGCTATATAAACATTGTTTATTATTTATATAATATATATACTGGTAGGCACTTAAAAACTCAACGCTCATTAAGATACGAGTAGTACCGAGAAAGTGTATATGAGAGGGGAGCTTATACGTCCTAATTAGTTCAAAAACTATTGTACATATATAGATATATCGTCCACTTAAACACCATCATTTAATAACCAGGGAAATCTCAATGATTTACAACTTGTAAATTCTAAGTTTTTGTAAAAATTTCAAACATATAATGCACCAGCTTCCTCAATTAGTCTATAAAGTAGGATATGATTCATGCATGGGGAACTTAATTATAAAACTCTTTCTTGTGTATTTCATAGTTTCTAGTTTATGTTTGCTTATTTTTATTTTACTCTCGTTCTCATACACGTATTTCAAGAAACTGAAAATAATATTTGAGCCGCGTCACGACAAAACCAACATAATGGGTTTGCGACCAGCATGGATCCAGACCAGCCTGCGCATCCGCGCAGTCTGATCAGGATCCATGCTGTTCGCTTACAGACCCTATAACAAGTAAAGAAACTGATAGCGAACAGCATGGATCCTGATCAGACTGCACTGATGCGCAGGCTGGTCTGGATCCATGCTGGTCGCAAACCCATTATGTTGGTTTTGTCATGACGCGGCTCATTTATTTTGTAATCGGACTGCACTGAAGTTTTTGTTATGATGGAACTGGGCACATATTCCGAGATTTGTGTACCTTTTAATGTAGATATTGACCAATAACTTGTGTTTAAATTTTCAGATCATACCCTCACCCCGTTTTTCCAGACTGATATTTTTTTAGTGCAAAATGACCTACGAATGAAAAGCGTTGCAACGCTTTTGACAAAATCGAGCTAAGAATCGCACAAAAGAATCAATATTTAATTTGATTCTGGGTATTTCTTAATTATCCCGTGCACATTTTTCCATTTAAGTGCTTCAATTGATTTATGTAAAAAAACAATTTTGATCTTTTTAGGCTTCTTGACCTCCTTTAATTGAGAAAGAAAGAAAGAAAGAAAGAAAGAAAGAAAGAAAGAAAGAAAGAAAGAAAGAAAGAGAGAAAAGAAACAAAGAAACAAAAAAGAAAGAAAGAAAGAAAGAAAAGAAAGAAAAAAAGAAAAGAAAAAATAAATAAAGAAAGAAAGAAAGAAAGAAAGAAAAAGAAGAAAGAGAGAAAGAAAGAATGTTTTGCATACGGAAGTATGAGCAACGAAACAAGATAACTCTTTGCTTTTAAAACGTTTAATACATATTCAACATATAAGCCGCGTCACGACAAAACCAACATAGTGGGTTTGCGACATGCTGTTCGCTTTCCAACTCTATTACAAGTGGAGAAACTGACAGCGAACAGCATGGATCCTGATCAGACTGCGCGGATGCGCAGGCTGGTCTGGACCCTTGCTGGTCGCAAACCCACTAAGTTTTTAACAATTAAATTGAATATTAGCCCCTTCAGCTCCTTGAATGTAATACGTATTTTATTCAACCGGGAATACCGTATATTCTTTACAATCATTTTAAGTATACATACATGCAGTTAATAATCCTTGTCAAATTTCACAAAATAATCATAAGAGTTGTTTCAATGGTTATTGTAAACACATCACATTTTCTTTGAAATACCACAAAATGGAAGTAAATAGGAAACAAATTTGATTACTAAAAAACGTATAGGGAAAATAATTCATTAAACATGCTAGTATTCCGGACCAGTTTAGTATAGACCACTTTCGTATTACTTTTAAAGAAATGAACACAATGTTGAGGAAATGCTTAAGTCATACATATACATGTTTATTTAAAAGTCCATACGAATAGCTTTCAGACAGTAATAATAGGCCATTACTATGTTATAAAGGTAGCGTTCCTCCGTTTTAAAAAAATACATGTACCTAAATCAGACCGTGCATTCAAATACTTCTTATTTGATCGATATTGATTACTTCATATTTTATGATATCGTTTGTTAATAAATACATGTAACCATTCCCATATTAAAAGTATTTCATTCAGTATACAGATATGAACAAATATCAAAAACAAATTCAATGCATAGGAAAACCTTTTAATCAGTCATAAGTCATTTACTGTTAAAAGGGTCTTTGAAATTTGAAAGACCCTGCTGTTAATAAGAAAACCATAACAAACAAAATTCTACTGATGTCTTTTGTGAACAAATTTAATGCATATAAAAATTTACGTCTTATTTTACGTGGAAATGATAATGCGACTTTTAAAAAAATACCCCAGGGGGTTGATTTAAATGAAAAGTAAAATTGTGGGTATTAAGCTCTAAATTAAGACCCTGTCATAAAATTTACACATCGGTTTGCCGGGAAAATGTGGTATACGTCCTCTTAAATTTCCTTTTTTCTTTCGTTAATCGTCCTGAAACATGATTTCCAATTTATTTTCGGAAAAAAAAATATGTCAGTTAAAAATTGTTCGATTTATTAGAAAATATAAACTTTGACCATAATTGTTTGATAGATAATGTAAACTTCCATCAGTCACCTATTTTTCTACTTTTTGTTTATTTGGCCTTACTGTATGGGAATTCCCAGTGTAAAATCCTATGACCTTGAATTACACTTAACGCTTGCGTGAAGTGTTTGAAACCAACGGAGATAAAAACTTTACTGTATTATTTACAGCTCTTGGGAAATCCCCATTTGCACAGTATATAAAACTTGGTAAAGCAATCATTTTTCAAAGTTATTGACAACAGTGCATTGCAAAAGAAAGAAAAATGGCGGATAAAAATATCAGTCCTGACATTGGTAACGACAATGATTTGGAATGTGACTTTGCGATTCAAAATCCAATGCTTAAGAAGGACATATTTCATGATGAAATACCACATTATAATAAAGAACATGAATTCAGAAGCAATTTCCAGGATTCTGGAGTATACAGCATGGTGAGCATTGATAAATGCCCAGTGCAATGTTCGGACATTAACCAACTTAGTGATCAAATAAGGGATATCGGTATTTCTGCGGATGACGAGGGATTGTCAATGAAAAGTTTTAAATCATTCGACAGTGAGAGTTCCCAGATCTCTGTACCAGAGCCAGAACCTGCAGAGATAGAGATCGACCTCAACGCGACTGATGAGGACGGCGACACTTTAATCCATGTAGCTATTGTCAGTCTCATGTCCGAGTCTGCACTTGCTCTTATCGATATTGCAATTGACAGTGATTGTTTGAACATTCAAAACTATCTTCATCAATGTCCACTTCATTTAGCAGTGCTCACACGACAAACTGAAATTGTGAAAGCTTTGATTGAAAAGGGAGCAAATGTTACTCTCAGAGATCAGCAAGGAAATACACCTCTTCACATTGCATGCAGAATGGGAGATAGAGACTCGGTTATGGCCCTTGTTAAATCATTTGGTGACGATGTATCTGGACGAAAAGAATATTTTGCGGTAAGAAACTGTGAAGGATTAACCTGCGTTCATGTCGCGTCTCAATACAAGGAATTTTACATTTTGGGTCATCTATTCGCTAAGGGTGCTGATGTCAACATTGGCGATGCAAAAAGCGGAAGGACTATTTTACATTATGCAGCTGAAAACAAAGACATGGCCACTGTGACAAAATTACTCACACACCGTAACATTGACGTAGACTGTAAAACTTTTAAAGGTGAAACACCCCTTGTTCTAGCGTTCTGGAGAAACGCTGAAGACATTGTGAAAAAATTGGTGTCAAAAGGTGCTGAGTTCAGTTATGATCTCTTTGAAGAGTCTGATGATGATAATTACGTCTGAACCGTCGACATGAAAAAGCCCCCCTGTGGTTTTAGATGGTTGTCCGGCATCGTCGATTCCAGCTTTGGGAGCGGAATTTAGATGAACGATTATTCTCGTGGCAAGACAAGGTGAAAAATATACGGGTAAAGTGATTGGACCATGATCTCATTGACACTTAATAAAGATAATTAACTGTTTGCAGAGTAAAGCAGACGACCATGCAGAAATGGTATCGTTTGTGTTAAATAAATCATTTAACCATGTTCATGTATACTATGTATACAGATTTTGTATGTACATGTATATATTTACAATTTTGTTTTATTCTGAGCAATAGATACTGATATATTTAATTACTGAAAATGTCAGTATATGGATATCTTTGACGTGAAAATTAAAAGAAATCTAAAATCCTTATCATGAGTTAATTGTGGTTTTTTTTGCTGTGATCTTTTTGTGTTGTTGTCTTTATATTTTCTTACATATTTCATAAGCAAGCAAGTACATCAATATCAACGCAGACTCGGTCCTCATTTGTGCTCATTTGTGCATACTGAGTCAGAGACTATGTCTGGGGCCTGCCTTTTCAAAAGCTGACAAATTACGACCTAGACGCTTTGGTTGAGGTACGGACTTTAATTGTCAATTAAAGTCCGTAGTTTAGGGTTTTCCAGAAATCATATATTTCTTATAGCTAGGCATTTCTTAAAACATAGTTTTATCATTCTGTCACAACAAAGTGAAATACACAAGACGGTCTTAAGCAAACCAGCATGATCATGCTAGCAGGAAAAGTGCATAACCCAAAGTAACCTATAGGTACGACATGATACGGGGTGTGTCCAAGTCCGGCCGCATAAAAATTAATGAATTCTGTATGCATGTTATATGTGTGTACAATTCAGTACATCAAACCTAATAACTTCCTGACCTACATCCGGTCTCGGGAACGCTTAGTAAAACATACATGCGTTGTATGTCTAAATCCGGGAAACTTCATTACTTTAGGTGTGTGCAAGTCCGGTCATGTGAAAAATGCATGACATCTCTAAACCCGTGCTAAGAAACTTAATAACTACATGTATTCTATATGTGTGTCGGGAAACTGTACTTATGAATACTAAGTTCATCAATAAGCAAACAATAAGCATGCTGAGTGTGTCTATAATTAAGGACACACGAAACTAAAACAAAAATTTTTAAAAATGATAATTTGTATCATTGTATACGTTAAATATAGTTCAATTTATATCTAATTATCTTACATTTGAACAAGCATATAGACACATAGCAATTACATCATTATTTTGATAGTTTGATTCAAGGAAAATATTTCTTTGTCAGTAAACGAAACCTACTCGAAAATAATAAACCGAAGGGTATTTACAATGTAAAGGAAATAAAGTGTGATCAGTAAATGAAGGAGAGATGATATGAAAAAATACTGGCTGATATGATTCAACTTGTCCACTCATTTTTCCAATAATATAGAGGTTTATTTTAAACCCGGATATTTAATTTATGAAACTGGAACGTTGCTTTCCTGTTGTAAACAATTTACCTTTTGTATCGGCTGTTTTTATCGTAATATTAATCTAGAACAAAGATCACGTGCAGAATGACTTTGTTTGCTTTAAAGTACATAATGGACATGAAAAGTTACGTTCATTTATGCACATGTGGTGGTCTTAAATGTTATGTACATGTCTTTTATCTGTGTTGCACTCTGTTGCTATGCTATAAAGTGATTTTCCATGGAACGGCACAAATTGTCACATTGAAGGTTCCATCATCACTGCTGCGGATGTTTCTGAATCGAAAACATCACATGTTAATACTTTTAATGGTGAATTAAGCTTAATTGGGGCGTCGACGGTAGCTTTGTCCATGACGGGTTCCTGCAACAATGGACCGAGAGCTTCAATAGCTCATGGTAGTCGTCTCCTTACAGGCGTTCTTTAATACAACACAGACATGTTGTATTTCCATTTTCTTTTTAGTCCAGCTATACTGGGAGAGGAAGGCATCGGTTGTCGTTTCTAGCAATCTTTTTCTGTATAATTCCCTCAGAAGAAACATTCAATTTTATGTTACCTTGTTTGATACCTTTCTTACATGAAACATTTCAAAATTATTTGACTGCAAGTGATCCCGTACTCTGGTTTACACCATACATAAAACAAATTCACTGTTTTGTTTAACCCGAACTTAAATTTTAAGATCTACGTTAAGCTCCCAAAACGATATTTTTTTCATATCTAAAAAGCTTAAATATTTTTTGTGTCCTGCTACAGTTTCAAAAAAAAAAGTATTCACTGACACTCAGGCACGCTTAGTAAAACGTTAATGCGTAAATCCGGGAAACTTCATTAATTTAGGTGTGTGCAAGTCCGGTCATATGAAAAATGCTTAATATGACTGAACTATATAGAATGAATTTAGGATATTTTAATGCAATTATAAAGATCTGGAAACGAAGTGATCCCTCGGAAGCCCTTGCACCGGCTTGAGCGTTACTCTATTCTCAACACTTAATAGTGCTGGCATCAATGATCCCGAAGGACCAGAAAAATGTAACAATACTGAAGCTGAAGTACGGGGCAACTTTTTACAGCTGCCACACAGCAATTGACACCTGCTGTTGTGAAGTTTAACAAGTCTGTTTATTGTAGAGCACATGTAGTACTTTTAGAAATACATGTACATATGTATATAAAAAAATAATGACAAAAAATGAGTCACTTTTTAAATGTTTTTTATCTATTTTTTAATTTTTTTTTATTATTTATTATCTATTTTTTTTGGCATATTGATTAAGTCTTTGTACGGATATCGAAATACCACCATTTTTACGTTTTGTACAAAATTGTCCTTTCCTCAGAAGAAAAAAACATGGATTCATTTCTGAGGTATCTGCTTTTAACCATAAAGAAGAAAAAGAAATAGAATGACTCTAAGATAGTATGCAATTATAAGTCTGTCCATTGTATAGCACATGTAGTACTTTATTAGAAATACATGTATGTTAAAAAAAGTCTTAGTGGAGAGAAATGGTAAGCAAATAAGCATGCAGATCTAAGAATTTAAGCATTATCACAGTCTGAGGTATGATTTTACTTTAAAACTTAAAATTCGACAAATTTTCATAACAATTTTGGGATGCGAAAAACTACTAAAAAAATTAAGTTATTCATGAGTAAAATCATCAAATCATTGACGTTAAAGCTGATGCACGTATTTTCTTGCAGCCTATACAAATATAATGTCATTTTGACGCAATTACGTACCAACCCACGTTCAACAAGTCTATTGGACATTTTGTTTAACTTCTAAAGTGCATATAATTATGTATTTGTATTTTTAAAAGCTTTACAAGTATCTGGAGCATAAGTATGCAAACCGGGGATATTTATTTTATATTCTGGTGAAGGAGATCATTTACATATAAAGTGTTTTTTTTTGTTTTTTAAATTCGTGCACGTGACATCAATTGAACACAGTCCAGTGTGAGCTAGAAAAAATTGTATGCATTTATGTTTTACTTAAACTAAACCGTTAGAATGGTCAAAATAAATATTGCCAAATTCCCTCTTTGACGTAAGTTTAAAAAAAAACAACAAAAAACCTGAGCAATATGTTTTACTAAAGTTAAAGTCGACTGAGTTCATATTATGCAATAAGACAAATGCATTGTTTAAGAGGGTATGCACTATGCAAGTAAGACATATACATGCCTCCAGATCAGTCAAACTATTTCAAGAAAATCAAACTTGAGAACAATGTCCTAAAATTTTTAGAAAAGTAAGAAGATTCAACATTTAAGTAATAATTTACTTTTTATGTGTCAGTTATTTACATCTTTTTGGTATTTTATTTGGTTTGTAAGTGTTGTTTTCAATGTGTCAATTACTTTCTTTGTTCGTTTCATCACATTTTACATCTAAAATACATTTTCAAAATTTTCATGAAAATATCCATGAATCTGGAGGCAGACTGCTTTAAACAGGCTATGCGCATTAAGACAAAGTGGCTATGCAATGAGACAAACGCATAAAAGAGGCTTTGTAATGAGACATATACATGTAAATAAAAGAGGGAATATATTACTGAGGGTTTGCAAAAAGATACATTACACAGTGTTTATAGAAGGAATTCAAAACAAGAATGACCTTCAAAAAACACTGACATTGGAGACGATATGCAATAAGGCAAAAGCATAAAAAAGAATAAGTATGCAGTGAAACACAGACATAAAAATGTATGCAATTACACACAAGACAAAGACATGCAAAAAGACCAAGGCATAAAAAATGGAATGCAACAAGATAAAAACATTAAACAGGATATGGTATGCAATGCAATAAGACACGGAAATTAAAGAAGATAAGCAACGAGAGAAAAGTATTCTAAATGAGATGCATTTAGACATAGACATAAAAGAGTGTATTCAATAATACTAGGAAATTAAAGAGGATAGGGTATGCAAGATAGTAGATTAAAGAGGGTACGTAAGAAAATGTAGATACAAAAGACATTATAGGCATAGTGCAGACAAGATTCAGACATTAAAGAGAATATATATGCTAAAAGACAAAGAAATTGAAGTGGGTATGCAATTAGAAGAAGACATTAATAGGAATTCATAAGTGTGAAGATGGAAGTTCAGTAAGAGACAGTAATTAAAAAGAAACAGGTTCAAAACAAGGAATTAAATATGATATACATGTATTCGAAACAAATATTTGACACGCCCAACCAATCATTATCTATCGGTATAAACTTGTAAGTTTGTGACAGACAAGATGAAGTAAAGGTTTTGTTACAAATGTTTGATTACTCGCACTGACAATGACAATATCTTGAAAATTCCATGAGCATAGTCTCATATTTTGAAGGATTGGTAAAATTCAAGGAGAAATGTATACATGTATACGTAGTCTGCTGAACTATCCCACTTTATGTTAGTTTAATTCAAATGTAATGATATATGTCTTATTTGGCGAAAAGCCCACTGTTGAATAAAAAAATCTATTTACACAATGCCTTTTATGTTATTCTTCCTTATTTATAACTCTACCCTCACCAATATGACATTGTGTCTCTTAAACATGAAGAGATCGGTGTTTATGTTTCGTATGTAAGAAAATAAACGATAAAATTTAATAATGAAACCAAGATTTTCAGATAAATTTCAATGTTAAAAATTAGTAATTGTTGTCGGAAACAAATTTCTTCTCGAAATTAAAGACTGAATAACTTTATCAAACTGTAGCTTTTTTTGTTTTAATGTCCCTATGCGGTGACAGCATTCTTCATTTAGACAAGTTATGTCATAACAGGTTTTTAATTTCCTTTGAATCTATATTTTACTTTTTAGCGATATAACAAAATAAGTTTGGACTGATTTCATGTTTGTT